TATTTTGTCCTGGACAACAATCACTATAAAATATTATTTCTTTGATATCATTGAATTGATCTGTTTTTTTAAATTATAAAAGGGCCAATGTTCACATTAGCCCTATAGATTTTGAAGTTTTGTTATATCAATAACGGCTGAAGTCTGATTGGACCTTTTTGATTTTGCAATAGTAATTTTTCTAACAACATTGGTCTTCTCAAATCTCATATTAATGATTATTGAGATACGCCCTTTTACCACTAGAAAAAGCTTATAAAATTGTATATGATAGGCCATATAACTCATTTTCACAAAAAAGTGACATTGGCCCTTTTTGACCCAAGCCCCAGAATTCTATTATATACGATTAACGATGGTAAGGTTTTGATTACCTTATGGTTATGGGTGAGGAGGAAGCGGTGTACTGTGTACCTATAATTGTTTAAGAATATTTGTTTCTAGGGGCCCCATTTTATATTTGACTTTAGGGCCCCTAAGTGTCTAGTTGCGCCACTGCTGCGAACATTTGAATTTGACCGGTTAAGTTTGGGAAAGATTTGTCTGTTCGTTCGTCTTTCGCGTTCTTAACGAATATCATCATCTCATCCAAATTTTTCGGTGGCGAGTTAAGGAGATCACATTTCTCACGTAGGTATGCCACAAACTCATCGGTCTGTTCTTTAACTAACCTAGCTGTGTATATTGTTTTCTTTGCGATACTTTTGAAAATACAACATACGAGATGTAAAAGACGAATAAGGTCGATACGATTCAAGAGTACCCTGCATCCGTTTTCGATTTTTGACTCAATCACTAACACATTTTTCGCCGGGCCAGCAATTGACGACCATGAAGAGGAGGTGGGGGTAAATATACGTCACGTACGTGCGCGACCGAGCGGTAGGATCACCAGGGATCGGGGGTCAAAAAAACATAGTCAGGGATCAGCAACCCAGCATAGGGATCAGCCGTCAGAATTGTCTTATTCATCCTACTAATTGCATAATTGAATGTCGCCCTATTAATTAATTGTTTGCATAGTTTAGTATATCGGATGCCTCCAGTACTATAAGTTCTGCCAAATACTGGCTGTGTCCAGTTTCAGATCCGAAATCTTCCATTACTCTTTGTAAATTAATAATAGCTCGTAATATATATTGGTTATCGAAAGGTTCCTAAAATCTTTGATTCGCGTCCAAGATATGTCTAATGAGACAAGTAGGCAATGTTACTCCCCCCGGTTCCCGGATATAGGTATGGCCACCTTGCTCTATGGCTTCCTTGAGGTTCATCAAGAACTCCACGCTTTTTGCTGAATTTCTAAAATGTTACAAGTATTTATTTTATTTCTATATTAGTTACGATAAATTTCCTAGTTCAGTTTGTAAATTTTGTATAGTTGTATAGGTCTTAATTTTTTAACGATTAGTTTTACATACTAATTCATGGGTTTCCATTAAATTTAACATGCGACCATTTTTTTTCTTGGTAACCTATCCTTTCTGTGTATAGAAGTTTGTTTATGTTATTTGTACTATCTATTAATTTAAGATTGAAAAAATTGTCGTTATCATCACTATATGCTGTAATGTTTAAAAGTTTCCTTATTCGTAACCTTAACCGTTCTATTATTTGTTTATTCGTCGTTCCGTTCCAATATACAAGTATGGGTACTCTATGGTCAGCATGCAAGTATTGGTTTAGATACGTAGTTGACAGAGTTGTTTCCCCCTCAAGTTTTATATTGGCTTCCAGTTGCCCCAATAATGGTAGTAACAACTCTGGCTTATTCCTAAATATCCGCCCAACACTTCGCATTACCTGTTTGACCTCCCTTTGTTTTATCATTTTCAGTTTGTTATCGGTTGACGGTTGTTAACATGATAGGTTTGCCTTCTAATTTTATTGGTCTATATTTGTTTAAACTGTTTGATATTGCTCCTGATACTAGTAGTAATTTCTTACATTCTATCATAGTGAACTCAAAATCCACTATGATAAATTTGATCTGGTCACTATAAAATATAATTAATTTGTTACTATATATACCTTAATCTACTATAACCTAATTATTTATTCCACGGCGGCTGCTGCTGCCTGTATTACTTCGTCCATTAATATTGCTAATTGTGAACAAGTGGGTTCACGTACCTCGCGCACTATTGCTATTGATTCTAATATCTTCGTAATTATTTCTTTTACTCTACGTAATTCAAGCGGCGTATATGGGTTTACTAAATGTTCGTTAGCTATTGTCGTATGGTGATTTAAACATGTTGGCTCGTCGCCTGTTAGCACGCGTCTGTATATGTGATCGTTTTGTATAAGTGAATATCGTACCATCATTAAGTATAGTAATCGTCTTGTAAAGTTAATATGTATGTAATCCCCGATAAAGTAGTGACCAATGGGTCAACTATGTCTAAAAATATTTTTTCGAATGGCTCTGAACTTGTTGATGTGATAAGCCTAGGTTGTTTTATTTTCTCATTTGTGACCTTACCCTTTTGACATGATTCACAATTCTTAACATATTTTATTACGTCCTCTTTTAAACCCTTCCAGTTAAATTGTGTCTTTATCTTTTTTATTGTCCTATGTATACGTGCATGTCTCCCAATCACTGAATCGTGACTACATTTGTACTCCGAAATACATATCGAATCATGGCGCGTACCTGTGCCCATTCAAATCTGTCCTTAAATCCTAATTTATTTAACGACATTCCTCACAGAGTGATTTTAGATTTAATAATGATAAGTACAAGTTTTCGTACGTGGTCTTTTGGTTATTCTTATTTTTTGTTGTTAAAAATATTATGTTCATATTGTTATGTTTTATGTAGTTCATAAAATATGAATTATTTAATAAAAATTAAAAATTGATTAACCTAACCTAACCTAACCCGATCATTTTGACCTATTACTAATATCGAACAAAGATAACAGTAACTATAGTTACATCTCTAATTTTTCACGACTTATCCGATCACAAAAAACCAAACATGATGGACAATCAATTTTTAGCAAATGGTGCTTTACATCATTCGATAATCAACAATACAAATTTAAATTAAACGAAGTAGCTGGATTAGATCAGCATAAATTAATATGTGGGGAACACATACCTATATTACCTAAGATGCCTGAACCAGGATCAATGCTCAAGTTTACTGAGTAGAATAAAACGCAACGTTATTCTATAGTGATTTACGCGGATTTTGAAGCAATTCGAATTTATATATGTGGATATATCAGTAGACAAATATTAAAACACACAAAATATATCATCTGTAAATCAGCAATCAAAGCAGGTAATTCTAATACAAATTCTTAAAAAGCAATATCTAAAAAATACATAACAAATTCACTTACATATTTAGATGGAAACTCATCAAATGCATCTGAGGCGAGTCTAACTAATTTAAAATTAAGAGGATACTTAATGCATCCCAATCGAGACTTTTTTAACCTTATTTATGATTTAAAGGATTCTTTTGAAACTTAGTTCATGGTTTCGATTTTAATAATTCATTTTCTTTTTTTAAATTGTCAATATCTACTGTATTCATAGGCGGACATTTGGTTAAATTTTTAGGGGGACTATAACAATCAAATATAAAGTGATTCCCCACCCCCTTCCTACACATATATATTAAATATTACTAATACAAATATAAATGTTTGTTATAATAAATAAAAATAACATATATTTAAAAATAATTAATAATTTATTTTATTTTAACAGGTTGAGCGCCATGAGAACCATTTTTGGTTCTCAACTAGATTTTTATGACTGCCAACAATGATTTTACAATTTTGGTTTTTATTGCCATGATATAAAATATTGAAATATATTTTTGATATTTTGTGAATATATTTAAATATGTATTAGAAATCTAATTTGCTTGTTTTTATAATTTAAGAGATGAGACTAAAATTGGTTCTCATGCAAAGGTGAAGGATATTTAGTATTGCATATAAATGTAGATTACCGCCTCAGATTATTTTGAATTTTACTTATAATCATTTCAATTGTGATCACTAAAAACAATTTGGCAATAATATTTATTACATAATAGACATTTGTTTGAACTTTATAGTAATTAGTGAAGGTTCCTTTTCTTTGACATTATCTTGTTTATAGCTCTTGTCAAACTCTGCTTGACCAGCTAACTAACCGCCTGTTCAAATCTGGATTGTTGTCTGGATGTAGCATTTCTTTATGGTTAATCGTTCAACTAATAGTGTACGAAATTCGGTTATTGAGATTTTTGGATCCAGTAACTTTTTTGAATAAGATACTTGCATACAACACTAATATTAATTAAATCCATCGCAACTTTTCTATACCACTTTAAACTCCTTCTCAATGGATTTGAATATGATGCCATTTGATCTGCCAGATCAATTGATGACTTCCTAGTATTATAGTCAACTACCACTTGAGGTTTTGTTTTTACTGTATTGCGATGTGGTATTTGAACCATTCTACTCCCATGTTTAGTACTGAGCATTAACAAATCACGCTTATCCTTCCATTTCATAACAAGTGTATTAGAATAACTTCTCATTGAACACGATTCTCCTTTTTTTGGATAACTTCTTTTGGATTTTGTTTACGGTTGGATCTTAACCTTTTCAGTGCCCATGACGCACCGGTGCGTTATTACAAAACACCATCCACACGCCCATGACGCACCCGTGTGTTTCATATGATTATTCATTATATAATATTGATAAGAATATTTGACTGGTACTGCCATCTAGTGCTCGTCTTTGCGAATTCAGTGGTTTTTTTTTTTTTTTTTTATCACAATATTCAAAGAAGTTATGAGGAGATAATCAATTTTTTCTTATCAGGGGTTATCAAACTTTTGTTTTTATAAAAGATGTTTGTTTATAATTTTTACTAATGAACAATATTGTAATTTTCATTTTTAAATTTTTGATTCTGGCGACTTTGTTTAATGTTTGTTGTTTATTTCAACTAATAAATTGAATAATTATTGATTCATTATGTCTCGTGGTATGAACGATGATGAAATATTAGCTGAATTAGATGAACTTTTAGCAAATGCGGAATCTGACGACGATTTTGAAATTGATGGTAAATATTTTGATTATTATTATTTTCTTATTTACAATAAGGGAATAAGTTATAGGTAGTCATCATAGAATCATTATAATAATGATTGCTTTAGTAATTATTACTTGTATTTATAAAAGGCAATAAAGTATATCCTACATATTATTGTAGTGTAATACTGGTAAATAATACTATTATTCTAGTTAATTTATTTTTTTTATGTATTTACATAGATATGTTTCCACATGATGACATGCAAACTTTGGATACTCAGTGTGATGATGATGAAATATTTGAAATGGATATTGAACCAGTTCAATCGTCTACTACATCAGATATACAACCAATTACTTGTACTCAAAGATCAAAAAAAAAAAAACTAAAAGTAAAAACTAAACCAAAAGCAAGAGGTAGATTGACTACACCAAATTTCAAATGGAGAAGAGGACCATTTCAACCCAAAGTTCATCAGTTTGACCCAAGTGTAAGTGGTATAAAAAAAATTGAGTTTGATCTCAATGAAAATTCACCGATTATTGATTTTTTTGAATCATTTTTTACACCATCACTGTTGGGTAAAGTAGCATTTGAAACAAATCGCTATTATCAACAAAATACAGAAGACCAAGTACTAGGAGACCGTGATAAACGTTGGTATGATACAACATCTGAGGAAATGTATCTGTTTATTGCTATAAACATGCTAATGGCTAGGAACAAAAAATTAGAACTTCGTGAATACTGGTCAACTGATGCATTACTTTATACACCTATATTTGGTCAAATTATGAGTAGAAACAGATATCAGATTCTACTTCGGTATCTCCACTTTACCAACAATGATCATCAAGTAGCTGGTGATAGACTGTACAAAATACAAATGGTACTAACTGAAGTCAAAAAAAATTTCCGAGATGCTATGATTCCATTTCAGAACCTTGTAATTGATGAAAGTCTACTTTTGTGGAAAGGTAGGCTCTCTTTCAAGCAATTTATTCGCACTAAAAGACATCGTTTTGGTATAAAATTCTTTATACTATGTGAAGTAGAAACTGATTTTATATTAGATTTTATTATATATACTGGAAAAACTACAGATATAAAAGCCTGTGATATAAATCTTGGACAATCTGGAGCTATAGTATGTACATTGTTTGAAGGATATTTGAAAAAAGGTCGAACATTATTCACTGATAATTGGTATACTTCACCATTGCTTTCCACCTATCTACATAAAAATAAAACTAACAGCTGTGGGACTGTCCGAAAAACTCGAAGAGGAATGCCAGAGCTCAAAAATAAACTTAAAGTTGGTGAAACACAAAGTTTGCATACTACTAAAATGCTAGTAATGAGATGGTTGGACAGACGGGATGTTTATATGCTTACAACTTGTTTTTCTGATAAAATGTTATGTACTGGAAAAACAGATTATGAAAATAAGAACATTAGAAAGCTAGAATGCGTTATAAAATATAATGAAAGCATGGGCTCAGTGGACAAGACAGACATGCTTTTGAGTAGTGTAGAGTGTGTACGCAAGACTGTAAAATGGTACAAAAAGGTGTATTTTCATTTGATAGATATGTCTTTACTAAATGCATACTCAGCATATAAGCAAGTAACAGGAAAGCATCCAGCATTAGCAGACTTCCAGTTGGAGCTTATAAGGCAAATTATAGATAGGTACAGGTCCAAAGTAAAAAGTCCAAAATTTTATCCAATAAAAATAGATGAGCTATTACAAACTCAAAAAATGCACTTTTTATCTGAAGTTCCAACCACTGAAAAAGGAAAATCTGTCAGGAGAAGATGTGCATTATGTAATAAAAACCAAAAAAGAAAAGATACAAAATATTTGTGCAAGGAATGCGGAGTAGGACTGTGTGCTGTACCATGCTTTGAAATTTACCATAAAAAAATGTAAATAAAATGTTACTTTTACACTTGTTTATTCCATTTATTATTATATATAAATTTAATTTCTTGTATTCATTGTTTATATCATGTTGCACTTATAATTTTGTAAAATGTTGTAAAAATAATAATAAATTTCAGTAATATATTAACGATTTGATATTAATTTAGGAAATTGATTACCGTATAACAATATTTGGTACATTTTAGGAAACCCTGGCTCATCAACATACATTAGCTAATTACTTAGTAATTAATTGGTTAATATTTTTTTTTTTTTTTTTTATGGAACTAATTGATTCAGTGAGTATAAAATTATCAAATTGGTTGAAGATAAAAAAAAAAATAAAAAAAAACCTGGGCCTGTGGTGGTGCCATTGCAAAATGTGTCTGGGCACTAAAAAGGTTAAGGTCCCAACTAAATGGGATTTTTATTCTCCTAATAAATCTGCCAAATGAACATTAGAGTACCAATTATCAACATACATGGTGCGTCCAAAATTTAAATATTCAGCAGCTAAATCAACAACAACTTTTGCAGATACACTAATATTTTGATCAGCTTCTTTACCGGCATACACTTTCATTGCTAAAGTATAGCACGGTGGAACACATAATTTAAACGTTATAACTCCATATTTATGAGATTTATTTTTTATATATTGTTTAAAAAGTAACCTACCCATAAAAGGCATTACTGATTCATCTATACATAATGATTCTTCTGGGATATAACAGATATTATAATTTTCAGTTAGATCTTCAATCAATGTGCCTAATTTATAAAGCCTATTTGATTTATTAGCTTGTTCATTGTCCACAAAATAGATCATTTGCATAATAATTTCGAAACAATTTCTACTGATTACTCCTCCAACGTTTGTATGAAATACAGCAGATGTACTCCAATAATGGTCATAACTTGGTAACTGAACAAGGCCCATCCATAGGAAAACGCCCAAAAATTTTTAATTTCACCTATGTTAGTGTCATACCACGCTCTGAGTTTAGAATGTGGTGTCAAATTTGTAAATGAAGCAATTTTTTGAGCTGCAAACCTATTAGTCTCTGTTACTATTTTAAATAATATATTATGATCAACTAAAATTGATACCCAAAATTGGTTCTCATTTATTGTGTTTCTTATCATTAAATTCATTATCTACAGGTTGCGCACTATATTTTGATATGAATAGCGAATACCTAAGATTATTATTACAATTTTATTACAATTATTATTAAATGTTGTTTTAAAGTAATTTTTATTCAATAATTGATCCTATTTACGTTTTTTTATATCAATAAATTGTCCATCATGTTTGGTTTTTTGTGATCGGATAAGTCGTGAAAAATTAGAGATGTAGCTATAGTGACTGTTATCTTCGTTCGATATTAGTAATAGGTCGAAATGATCGGGTTTTTTTTCTTGTACAACTTTCAGAGAAAATATTTTATATTCCGGAAATGTTGGTGGTTGAAATTGCTTATCGAGACCGTAAACATTGACAGACACGTTCTTAAGATACTAGCGGTGCTGGAATGCCAACTAGTGATAAATATTATATAAATAAATATTTAAAGCCGGAAACAAAAATACGGACCATGACATTTTTTTAAATGTTTTTTGAGGTTGGACTTGTAACTAAACGTTACAGCTAAATTGTACACCGGTAACGCAGACCCGTGTGCGTTTTTTGGTGAGCCGTCAAATTACATTTTACCGTAAACTCTGAAGTACATTGTTCACATTTAAACAATCTTAAATGTGATTTTCGGTGAGCGATCAAATTAGTTTTGTAGCTGAATCTCAAAGGACATTGTTCACATTGAAACATCTTTAAAATATATATGAAAAACGCACAAAAACAAAAATATTACGATTGCGTGAAATACAAACTAATCGACTATTAGGTGTAAATAATTTTAAATAAAATTCGAAATAAATATTTATGAAAAATATACGTGAGCAACGGTTGAAGGTAGTACACGGACTAAATGAAAAATCAAAAGTCTCTTCAATTTCTAAGGTTAGAGTCGTGACTGTATTACCAATGACAAAGAGAGGGCTAAGAAAAGGTAAAGAGTGTTACTTTCTTATATAAAGATATCTGCTGTCAAAGGACAACGCCGACTCAAGATAATCCATTGGAAAAGTCGCCTACACTCGAACAACATAGAAATCGGTCACGTCCAATAAATTACCAATGACAAAGAGAGGATTACGAGCTAAGAAAGCGGTCAGATTATAACGGTAAAGAGTGTTTCTTATATAAAAGGCGTCTACCGCCAAAGAACAACGCCGGCTCACGATAACCCAATGAAAAGCCGGCTACACTCTCTAACATTCCTAAACTGTGGTCAGCGAGCGATTAACGCGATATTCACCCCGTGATTTACTTGTTATACTTTTCACGCATTTTACATATAAAATTATTTTTTCGTTAGTTCAGTGATATATCGCATAAACATATACAATTTTTTTTTTTTTTTTTTATTGATTTAAGGCCTCAACGACAATGGTAATTAGCCTACTTAAATTATATAAATATATAGTGGATAAAATACATTAAAAATATATAGATGTTGGAAAGTGAAATTATGTACATTGTGTATTGATATTTAATGTATTATAATTTATTAAATATTTTAATTAAACGAAGAAAGGTGAGAAAGGCTTTGATGTTGTCTTCATTGAGTGCTTGTTGAATTGTTGAAGGGTTTTTGAGGATCCCTCGTTGCGCCGATAATTTTGGGCAGTCGATCATTATGTGTTTAATTGATATGTTAACTCATGTTTCGCAAGTAGGTTTCGGTTCTTTGCTGATTACGTATGAATGGGTTAGATGGGTTGTCTATTCTAACACGGTAATTACACTTCCTCTCTTCTAGGAAGGTGGGGATTTTCCATTTCTTGACGTAAGGTTTTATATTTCTAAGTTTGTTTGATGGAGTGAGCTACTCCAATTATTTGCCACAGTTCTGATGTTTTATGGTGGTGCATCTGATGTAGTTATTTTGTTGATTTTGTAGAGGACGGGGATAATATTGCTTCATTAGCCATAGTGTCTGCTTTTCATTCCGGGGACAGTGTTGAGCCGAGATAAATATAATTTATCTAGATAAAGATAAAGATAAATTATAATAATGTTATCTAGATAAAGATAAAGATGACAAATTATTTATTTATCTAGATAAAGATGAAAAATTATTTTATCTAGATAAAATATCGGATAAATTTTTATATTGGTTTATGGCACTTCTTTCTTAAATATAAGACATAATAATTTATGTACATTTTATTGTGGCCAACCTAGTCTGTATAGATTGTAAATATATTAAAAATAAATAAATAAATATTTTATTGTAATTAATAATCATATTTCATATTATAATTAATGTAAATAATTGAGAAGTTCCATTTGACAACACTCGTTTATTAATAACTGAAATTAATATAAAATTATACCTATTTTTAAAAAATTCAGCCATCTTGGCATATTGTAGCAAAATAAAAATATAAAAGTTTTAAATGTATATAAGAAAATAATAAATGATCATTTTGAGATCTGCAACATAAGCATTTTAAATTGGCGTCTTTTAATCGGTTACGTCTAGGAGTTAAAATCTGTATGGCCCACTAAATAGCCGTTCAACTGGAGCTGATGATGGTAGCGTTGTATTAAACTTAAGGAAAACTTGCTTGACAACTTTAAATTGATCAAGCATCACCAGATCTTTCTTCAATTTAAAATATTAATGCTTATA